ACAGAGGAGGGCTGTGATCTCCTCTCAGTAATTCCTGAGTCCAAAACACCCTCAAGTTACTGGAAACCAGATTCTGGCTGAGTATCAGGAAAAACTTCCTGTTAGAGCAGTAAGACAGTGGAATGAGTTACTTAGGGAGTAACTCATTCCAAGAGGCAGCTGTAAGTGATGGCATCCAACTGTGGCGGTTGAATTCCTATTAACCCTGTCTATTGGCCATGATGTCTGGGAATGATGGGATATCTGGAGGACCTCAGTGTGTTAAAGAAAGTGCATGTACCAATTTCTCATGAACAATTATGATTAGTACAGTTCCACTCACTATTAACCATGTATTAACCATTTTGGCAATGCCTTCCCAGTTCCTCATTATTTAACTCAATGCCTTCTACAGATGAGAAGCAAGCTATTGTCACATTACATCTCTGCTTCATTTCAAAATTAATTTGAAGTATAATTCAACAGCACTAAGTGCTTCAGGCCTACTGAGAATTAAATCACTTTAAATGAACGTAATTATAAGATATTTTATTCAACAATCAAATATATGCAGTAGTTGAAAAGTGAAGAGCAAAAATTAATGCATCAAACACAATTTTTAATGTTTCACTTCAGCAGAAAATTCATTTCAAAAGTAATTAAAATTAAGAAAACATTGGCTGAACAAGTTTTTCCAATTTCTTTCCCATCACCGCATAAGGACATACACTTTTATTACTGCCAAGTATAGAATGAAATTTCTGATGGTTTAACCAATTTCTAGCGAATCCCTTTATCATATACATTTTCATCAGGTTGGCTTTCCACAGAAAGATTGTGTGGCAGTTCTAAGATATGGGCATTTAATGACCATTGATGTTTCTACTCACCAGCTACTACTCATACGTATTTGCCTACATTGGCTCTGGCTCCACTGCTAAGAAGCCACTGCTCAATGGTCATTAGCACAGATTTGACACATTGCTAATGTAATGCAATCTTGGGGTTTCCCCCCCTTGCGGTATGATCCCAGCCAATCAGGGATCACATGGTGAACAGGATTAGGAAGACTTCATATAGTTTTAGCATACCATTTGCAATTGACCTCACTGTGTATGTATGGTTGAGTTAGCCCACCCATTAGGTAGGCCTGTGGTGGGCAAGAGAGAGAAATACATTAATTCATATCTTTGGGTAGAAAATTGACAAGCATTACTGTCTCCTAATGGTTTAACAACAGTAGCAACAAAATGATCTCACCCTCAATTACATTGCTGAAATGAAGGAAGCTTGAGATAATTTGGAGTGGAGTAACTTCTAGTGCTAATGTCATGATATTTGACAGCAACAGCTGGGCATACCAACATCTCTGGAGTGTTATAAAAACAGCATTCGGGCACATACCCTGTTGTATTCTAACTCCTTGCCTAGAAGGAGCAACTGGTAGAACTATGGAGGAATGCAAAGAAAAGCTATTCAAACACTACAGCAGATAAGCAATTTGGTTTAGTCATAAAAGTACAGTTCTGAGGAAAATATGAATAAGAAGATGCTTCATGAAAGTATTACATGCACCAAATATTAAAATGTTTGGATGTACAGGAGGAAGAACGCATGCTCTTTCTTTGGAGTTACCTTTTATTTGCTGTTTGAGAGTTAAGTGGCTTTTAATTAAGGTTTCACAATAGAATTATATTGGTGTGAACAGCCTAAGGATTTCCATCTGTGCTGAGCCACAGGAGGGCTGTGGGTGACAATGTGCTATCATACCTGGTCTATGTCAGCTTGTTGGGGGCTGCACTGCATTGCATTAGTTGAATACGCATGAGAGTTCACATCTGCAAATACTTCGTTATTTAGGCCCATGTCTAAGTGATACACTGGTGTGCCCCAGCCTATTGCCCTTGTATGGAACACTCAAAAGTGAGTAAATGTATTTCAGTCCGCTTACATCCAGGCAATGATCGCCTACATGCCTATGAGATGTTCAGATTGGTCCTTTCACCCATATGGATTCACTAAATGTCTGTTTCCCTAAGGACAAAGCTACATCAGCAAAGGAAAGCCAACTGCATTTTTTTAGGTGTGATATCTTAAGACATGTTGCATTTTCATAGACTGATAAAAGCTTCTCTCCTGCCCACCCCCACAGCCTATGGCTCCACAATTTAAATCCCATATTTCATTTAACTATGTTTACCCTGCCAGAAACCAAGCATTTTAAGAAAAATCTGTTCCATTCAAAATGTAATTCAATAACCTATTTTGAAAATATGTGCATTATCAAAATATTGCTATCTAAAAGCACATCTTTGCTAACACAGTCATAATGCCCAATTATATCTCCAGGAGTAAGTCCCATAGGCATAATCATATTTCTGAAAACTATTAAGGGGAAATCCAATGCCTCCCATGATTTTATGTAATAGGGCTTATCAGATGCTGACACATCAAACAAACATGTAAAATTACTTTTCACAGAAAGGAAATCTAGCACTGATATCTGGAGCATGTATGTTGTGAAGTACTCCTTAAAATTAGCATATTAAGTGTTTCAGTATGCTGAATACAAGGTAGAAAAGCATCTCACAACATAAAGTATTTGCTGAATGTGTTTAACTAAAAGAACTGCTGGTCCTTACCTTTAGTTCTTCAAGCAGCCCCTTCTCTAACCACTTCATTCACAAAACCATGAAAGGGGAAATATAAAGCACAAAAGGCAGGAGAAGGCTGTCTGATATTATATATTCCATCCTATACAATCTACAAAGCAAGGGCTTGCATGTGGATGTCCTATAAGAATTCTCTGGGGAAGTTATTGCTATATATAAGCTGCTCATGGGCAGAGTTTCACTTTTGGATTGTTAAGTTTACTCCATGCTATCAAATACGTTTTTTAAAGGTATTTAATTGCCCCCTCCTCTCAAACACTTAGGCCTTTTTTTAAAATCTCATAATAAAACAATAAGAATGAAACACAAGAGCATTACTGAATTTACTGTAAGAAGCTGCAAAGATGTGATGAAGAGAAAAGCTGAATGTTGTAACCTTTATAAAACTCTGTGTCAGAGTTTAAAGTTGGAGAGATGTTTGATTATGTAAGTTACCACAAATGTTAGGAAATGGTTTTGCTCTCCAGCTGTAATCTTGCCATAACATAATCACACTGCCTTCTTTCTTTTTAGGGGCAAGTAATAAAAATGATTTCTTACAGAAATGATAGACCTGTAAATTTCACATCCTATAACCTACACTGTGTGTGATGGAACAAACAATTCTTAAATCATTTCCTGGACCAATACTGGTCTATTGAACCCATGACCATACAATTATTTTGGGATCAGTGAAGCAGTGGATGAAAATGGTAATGTGATATATTTTGACACACACACTATGGAGTGGCCAACCATGTCTTTTGCCCCTGCTCGTCAGAAAGGGTTGAAGCACCAACTGTTTTTTCAAAGGATGGTAGTTCCTCTTTCCTCTTCTCCTCCTGGAACTTCCATCTTTGGAGCTGTAGCCAGTGTGGAAAAAAGAACACCAGCTATGAGGGTGGAGGGAGGGCCTTCCAAAGGTGGCTCCCTGCTTTTATGAAGGATTTTATGGACTTCCTCTGCAGACTTTTTTGAGTTCACTGAAAGAACTACAACTTTGCTATGGCTGGTCAAACAGCGTCTATTGGCCATAGGATTCATCCTAAACAGCTAAATTCGGACCTCAAATTTGAACAGGAAGCAAACACTAGAAGTGTATGAATTTGCTAAAGATGACATCTGGACTTTCTTGCCATGTCAGACTCCCCACCAGTAGCTAGGGCTCTAAAAAGCAGAAGAGCTACAATGTTCTCATATACCCACCTAAATAGAACTTAAATTTGCTCTACAAGTGGAATGTAAGGTCTAGCACATAGATATGACATAGATAATTGGAAGTATGTCTTCATCCAATTTTGTCCATTTCTCTAGAATTGTGACAGATTAATCCAGTAACAGTCAATGATTAAACTTCTGAAATATTTTCCACAACACAGCTACAGTCAGTAAACCAGAAACCACAATGATGTGTACCAATATGGAGTTGCCCTCTCATAACATCTTTTAGGTATGATGTTGGAGGCCTACTAGCCTATACAGTTCAATTTCTGGGCCAATGGCTCTCTTTAGACAGTTATGCTAAGGTATACTGCAGTAAAATGGGTAATTAAACATTAATGTAGTTTCTGTTAACTTAAGAGCGTAGCAGGAGTTGCTGATAGGAGTTCCTGGCAATCTTAATTCCAACTTGTGATTCATCTAGCCCCGCCTGTCGCATGATGTGCTCTGCATGTAAGTTAAATAGGCAGGGTGACAGATGTAGCCTTGCCATACTCCTTTCCCAATTTTGAACCAATCAGTAGTTCCACGTCCAGTTCTCACTGTTGCTTCTTGACCCGCATACAGATTTCTCAAGAGGCAAATAAGATGGTCTGGTACTCCCATCACTTTAAGAACTTGCCACAATTCTTCAAAACCCTGCCTGTACTTCTGGTAGTTCTCAGTCCACCTACTGCTGGAGCCTAGCTTGTAGGATTTTGAGCATCACTTTGCTAGCATGTGAAATGAGTGCAATGTGTCCATGGGGTCGCGATGGGTCAGATGCGACCTCGTGACTAGCATAGCATAGCATAGCTCAGTCATTTAACATAACCTGAGAGGGAAAGACACCATAGAAGTGGTCACTGGCATCTTCAAAAAGCAAACAAAAAGTGCAGAGAATATCTTGAGGCATAGGGTGATTTATCATTAATGGAGAAATGCTGATTTCCTACAGCCCTACATCCTTTCCCTCTTTTCTCATTTCCTTTATCTCATGTTATCTCATTCTTTGTTCTGTGTTACAACTTTAGGATTTGAGAGACAGAAAGAAAGTTGTGGAAGGTTTAACGCTCCCCCCCCCATATCATGATGATTCATTAAAAAAAAAAACTTGAATCAGCTTTTCCCCACCCCACTGCATTACAGGATTGTATATTTCTCTTATTGTTTATTTCTACTGCCTTTTTAATACAGATCAAATAACATTACAGTATCAAAGCTCAACAGTTTAAAAAGTAAATAAAGTTCATGTTTATTTGTATGATTTATTAAAATCTCCAACTTGCATTTATATCAACAAGCAAGAGAGCTTTTTATTGTTTGCCTACCAGTGCATAAGCAATTTCAGGAAAGAAACTGGAAACCAGTAAGGCAGCTCCTGCCATAAACGTGAGCTGCAGAGTCACAATGATGCACCTCAGGTGAATCCAACACATTTTCAAAAGGCACCGTTTAGATGGTAAAACATAACCACATGGAAACGTGCGAGTTTCCACTTTACAGTGTACTTACTGAATTGTTTTTATGTGCTGCTTTGTTAATAGTCCACTTGATGAATTTGCAGCCTAGGACTATAATGAAGGTGTAGCTACATTGTAATAAAATTCAGGGAGTATTTGTATTGCAGAAATGGCTATGAAATGCATGGACCAGTTTTATCAACATACAAAAGCATACAAATTCCAATCGCAATAAAATATTACAAATCATAATGTAAACGGTTAAATTATATAGGCATTCTTTTCAAAGATCCAAATGCTGCAATGATAACAAAAACACATATAAAATGTAACAAAACATAAATTACATTTCAAAGTCTGTACATGATTCATCTCACAAAAAGCATTAAACACACATACATCCTGTACAATATTGCTTATTTTTGGTCTTTTAACATCTACAATCACTAATTTTTTTAAAAAAAAGAAGGCTGTGTATGGCTGTGTATTTTTCTAGCACCATCTTATCTAAAGGCAAAATAATTTTGAAGTCCTTATTGATCACTGTAATCAATAAAATGTGCTAATATGTTTCTGAGCCCTTTATAAACATATAACCACCAACAGACAGAAGAGGTTGGTTTGTTAAGTTAGTGCATAGCCTACCCTATCTCTTCTTTTGGGTAGCAAATATATATTTCCTGCTAAAACATTTGACAGTCATCTGTCATTTAGAAAAGAAATTCACTGATTTGTGCTGGAAAATATTCTATTTCTCTCAATGACTGAGCATCACATGTCATTCAGCTTTCTCACCCTAGCTGAATTTCTAATTTAAAACAATATTCTTACCTGTACGTTAGCTATATCTGAAAGACACCCTTGCAAATGTACTGAATCAGTAAGGTAAACAGGATGTTCATTATTCTTTGAGCACCTCTTTACATGCAGAACAATCTCATGTGCTACTGCAGATCAGCTCCTTTTCTTGTAAATGATTTAACCAGAATTCATTAAAAGAACAATTACAATCAGAGTTCAAGATATACATGATGTGCAATGCATTTCCACTATATGTTGCACAGCAACAGTATATTATAAAAGCAGCCTCCCTGCAAGGACTGCAATCAACCCTAGATTTTCAAACAGCAATTTCATATCTTCACGTTTGCAAATATCCACTGGAAAGAAAAGTCTACAAACATGGAATGTCATTAGTGATGTATTTTATGTGGTTTCCGATTAGTAGTTCTAAGAGTCTGAAGAAAAACATTGATTATACAAGTCAAGAAGACTACAGTCCCCAGAGTTCTGAAGAGACAGATGTCTAGTTTTGCCCTTGCAGAAGGGTACTGACATCCTTAGGCTTCTGACTGAAACTCTGCCTCATCCATTTGAAGAGTGTCATTGTCACCCAATAATTCTGTTTCCGGCACTGAGCCTTCTTCTTCTTCCTCTTCCTGGACAAGACTCTGGCCAACATCTTCTGTCACATTATGTGAATCTTCTGTACCTTCAGAGAGCAGAGCTGCCCTGTCAGCCACAGAGGCATTGGAGGGGGCTGTGGTTACATACCCTGTACTTGTTGAACCACTTCCACTGTGATGCGATCCTGGTTTGGGAATCATCTGAGGTGCTATCTGTTGAGGAGCCATCTGCATTGGGATCTGGACAGGATAAAAATTTGGCAAATAGGCCCCATAGGCTGGCATTGGTTGGTAGCCATTGACAGGAATGTAGAGCTGAGGAGGTGGGACCATTGGTCTTATCTGTCCTTTCATTGGTATAAACTGTGGCTGAGGGAAAGCTTGTGGTTTCTGCTTTGGTCCAACATATCTAGTGTTGCTGACATTACTAACGGGGCTTGTGCTGAGGGAGCTGGTTTGTGTGGTGTTGCTTGCGCCAGAGGTTTGTGCAGAGCTGTTATAATTAGACAGGTTTCCCCATGTTCGCAATCTGTTGTGGATGTCTTTAAATCTGGGTCTTCTGTTGGGAAATTCATTCCAACATTCTAACATCAGTGAGTACATCCAGGCAGGGCAGTCATCCGGGCATGGCAAAACCTGCCGATTTCTTATCATCTCAATGACATCTTGGTTGGAGTAGCCACAGTAAGGCTGCAAGCCATAGCTGAAGATCTCCCACAACACCACGCCATATGACCAGATATCTGAATCAATGGAAAACTTGCCATACATGATTGCCTCCGGGGACATCCACCGTATAGGGAGTGGATTGTTACCCATTAGTTTATAGTAGTCAGCAGAATACACTTCTCTGAAAAGACCTAAATCAGATATTTTCATGCTGAGCTTGTCAAACACCAGTACATTTCTAGTGGCCAAGTCTTTGTGGACAATGTGGTGACTTGAGAGGTATTCCATTCCTGCTGCTAACTGAGTCACAATGTGGAAAAAATCAGCCGGCTCCAATGTAGACTTCACTGTCTTCTCATCATCAGTGCTTCCAACATCTGAGTGAGGGGATCTTATAACCAAAAACTCGTGGAGATCACTATGGGAACAATAGCTAAAAATCATACTGATGGGCTGTTCTTTGGTCACTATTCCTAGTAAGCAAACTATATTTGGATGCTGTAATCTTGATCTCATCATTGCTTCATGTTTAAATTCTTCACGGAGGCTTAGATCTGCTTTATCCTTCAGTGTTTTAATGGCCACTGTTTGTGTTTGCTCCCCTGGGGTTGTACCAAACAGGTGGCCTTTATAAACTTTTCCAAACTTCTCTTCACCTAGTTCCTCCATAAATCTCACACTGGAGAGACTGATCTCTTTTAGTTTTGCCTAAAAAGCAAAGAGAAAACAAAGACACCATGTCCTAATCATTTCAAATGAATAAAAAGCATTGCAGATTGTTAGCAATAAACAAGAAACAAGCTTTGAATCAAAGTGCACTTACAACTTATCCTAATTTGTATTTGACAATCTGAATACAAATTATTTCTCAAATTCCCATAACAAAATATTTCAGCTCAAGAGTATTTCAAATGCTTAGCCCAATAACAAACAAGACCGCTCTTATTTTCATAAACAGGACAGGGTAGCCACCTATCCTGGAGCTATAATCTGATATTATAGATCAGATAATACAATCTTTTTCCTACATGGGAAAAAGAAAATGACTGGTTAAATGCATAAGGTGACTTTTGAGGCACTTTCTAACTGTAAGTACCATATTTATTCATGTAAAAAATGCTGATGTTAGTTTTCTGCAAAATAATCCCAGTACATACCTTAGTAATCATGCTCTGCAGTCACAAGTTTAATAGAATATCAAGTGTTGTATTTATTTGATTTGGTTTGTACCTCATCTTTCTACCAAAATTGGCACTTAAGCTGTCTTGTGACATGGGCTGCTATGCCTGCCTGTGCACCCAACCCAAGTTGAATGTAAAGTTTGGGTTATGTTCCTTAGGAAAGCAGCTCAAATTTACCAAGTCGCCTTCACAGGATTTTTACTGCCTTGGAATTTTTTTGCTTTTCTGCACCTGGGTTTAGGTCAAACAACTGACAAAACAGAAAGAGGGAGGAAGCCTTTGAGACAGCGAATGGATTTCCATTTCAACATTCAGTGCCTGGAGACTTTAAAATCCACTGAGTATGTTAAACAAACACAATGTGCGTGCCTTTTGAATGATACCTGTTTATGCTGATTAATGAGAGGCATTTCCATGTCCTGGCTCGGAGATGCCATCAGCTGCCTCCGCTGCGGGGTGGTGGCGGACGCCTTCTGCTTGTTTCTGCACATGCAGACCAAGAAGAAAAGGCAGGCAATAACCAAAGGAATGGCTATGCTGGGAACCAGGATGTAGAGGATCCCCATTTTGCTGCTGTCCCGTGGACCTATTCGGATTAAAGCATTGCATATTTTCAGGTGGGGGTTTAAACATTCAAAATGCAGGCAAGAAATACAACTAGCATTAAGGGAGTAAAGTTCCAGGTGCATGCACAACTCACAGGAAACAGCATGGCAGAAGAAGAAACACTGCATTCATCATCAGCTTTGTGTTCTAAAGACTTAGATGGTGAACATAGTTCGAGGAAACTTATCAACAGAAATGCAAAATGCACAGATCCAACTCATTTTTGCAGCAGGCATTCACCAGCCATATATTCAGAAACCCCCTTAAATGGGCCTTAAGTAAGGTTCTGAGCAATTGATGGAAGTCTGGGGGACATTTTTAACTGCAGAATCCCCAGTGCAGGCTGCAGGGATCCCCCCAGAGTCCACCAAAATTGCCTGTTTGCTGCTGAAATTTAGCATCCAACCACTCTACAGCCATCTTTCCTGCAGGCATGAAGCCCACTGTCCACAGGTTGCTGACCCTTGCTCTTTGATTATAAAAGGTACAATCTTCCCTGTACGTATCTGGATTCTGAGCCCCACTGAATACAATGATAAGGTAGCATTCAGTACCTATGCTGTTTAGAGTGGACTTCAACATGGCCTGCCTGTACTAGGGTGCAACCTTAGCAATTTGCTTCAGGAGACTGCTGTGCACAGAATGGTTGCACCCAATGGGCAAGCCCATTCATTTCAATAAGCAGGCCGCAGCTTCATGTGCATATCCAGAATAAATTCCCCATTGAGCTGAACAGGACAGGCTGCTCTACAACATCCGCCGCACCTATTCGCAAATACAGCACATCAGCACAAATACTGTAGCCAGCAATTGTGTATTTCTACCGCGTAATCTTTTGATTTATCAATGATTTGTATTTATACATGCAATCCAAAATTATTGGCTGTCCAAAATTATAACTGTAGCAATTTAAATCTCAAAATTTAATGTTTCAGATATATTAAATGACCCTCATTAAAAAAGCTAATTGTAAAAAGTGCTCTGTAGGAAAACTGTAAAATATACAGAAGACCAATTAATTGATCTGTATGAAAAATCATCTATTACAATCTTTCTCGGACTAATCTATGTCCATTTAGTTTAATAATTACATATGACTTCATTAAAACATCAAAGCACTTCATAGGAAAAATAGGGAAATATGACAAAAGTAAGAACAATAACAAATTAATAATAACAATAATACAGCAGCAATGAAAATATGAATAAGCAGTGGTACATCAGGATGATGAATTATTCAAAAACATTATTCATTTCCCATGGAGGTAGAAAGCCCAGGTAGACTTCTCACATAATTTTGCTGTGAAGCTCACCCAATTTCGTGTAACACAACCATATGTAATACTGATATTTATTTGAGATGGACACCAAATTGCCATTTATATAAGCCCATTGCAAAACTAAATTTTAGAATATATTCTCCAACAAAAATTTCTACATATCCTTCAGGTAATATTTTAAAAGATAGCCACAGTGCCGATGAGTAGCCATTATCTGGTTTATTCAGAATTCCAAACTGCCTTTCCTCAGCCTGGTGACCTCCAGATATTTTTGACTGCAGCTCTCAGATTTTCTCCCTGTTGGTCACGCTGGCTGGGACTGATCTGAGTTGAGGTCAAATATATCTAGAAGGAACCGGGTTAGGGAAAGAGGAACCAGGCTCTTGCACTCAGGCTTGGAAGCTTCCCCCTCCCCTCTTCTGGAGCAGCCATAAGAAAGAGATTGGAAACATCCACTTCCTGAAATATTCTTACTGAAATTTCACAAGGGATTTGAACTGCGATCTCTGATAAGCATAAACTTGTGAGGGCTTGGGCTTCAAGAGTCAGTAGCCTGAACGTGGGGGTCAGGTCCAATGAGCAATCAGGACCCAAGGAAACCAGAGACCAAGCTAGGAGTCAGACTTAAGGGTGGCCAGGAGCAGAGGACAAACCAGGAAACAGGATCAACAGTAAAACCAGAAATACAAGGCACAGCAGAGCTCAGGTAGTGACCCTGTTGTTCAAGCTCCAAAAGGAAGTCTCCTATACTTCTTCCTGCCCAGGAGAAGCAAGGCCCAAGGGCTTGGATGCAACTGGTTCTTTCCTGAGAAGGTATAACTACACAGTTCATAATGGGGCAATGGTCAGCTATTCCTGGAACAACTAAGACTTCTTGAAATAAGCTAGGATCATGAAGCACAATATGATCTCAGCTTGTTCCAATAAACTAGGCTTGTGACTAACCTGCTTCCTCCAGATATTTTCGAAATCCTCCCCCATCAGCAACAGATTGTATGGCCAAAGGCCAAGAATGCTAAATGCTGTAATTCAAAACTCCAAACTGAGGAAGGGGAAATAAACCATGGCTTAAATTAATCACAGTTTGTTCTTACTGGATGTAGCAACAATGGTGGATGCTTTCTGTTTCCTCACAGCCACACTGGTGGAATAGAGAGGAGAACTTAAGGCTCAATCAGCAACACCAGATGATGACTTGTGTTACATCCGGACAGAGCTAGTGTCTGCGTAGTCTAAGAATGTGTGAGTAATCCATTTTGGGAGTATGAACCTATCAATATTCCTTGGGCTTGGTTCCCTGGACCCTGGCCTGCTTCCTCACAGCTGTGAGTCTGAATTATTGGTGGGTATTTCAAGTGTTTATGCAGGCATCTGCCAGGAAGCAAGCACACATGCATGCTGTACAAATGGCATCTCTCATCCATGTATGTGACTTGTTGCCTTTCTTTGGGGTGCACATAGTGCAGAAGAGAGTTGCCAGTTGCAGAACTAGAGTTGGGTTGGTTTGCTTTCCATGCAAGGGTCAAACACAAAAAGCCTGATGAACAGAAGGCCATATCCCAGGCAGAAACATAATCACCCTAATCTGGATTTTATGTGTACTATTTGTATGGGGTTTATTTATTGTATGTAAGCCATCCTGAGGCTCATGAGAATGGGACGGCAGACAAAAATTCTAAATGAATGAATGAATGAATGAATGCAATGTATCTTAAAATGAAGATGCAGAAGTGTTGCAGAACCTATTGTCCTACAGCTTCCTTCCTTTCTACTTAGAATCCATCATATTCTTCAAGGTAGACTCAAGATATCAAGCAATAGTTTAAATCAAAATCCAACGAATACATAAAGAATATGGTGGTGGTGATGACAGCAGATCATCAAAGCAGATCATCATGGTATGGGCATCAATCCATACCATGTATAAACAAACAGAGAAAAAGTGGAGGTTATTATGTTCTGTGATTTCAGGGCTAGGAAATTGTAATCAAGCCTTTCTCCTCTTATAAGAATGTAGAAGTCTCTACTTCCTACAGCTTTTTCCCTCTGGTATTTGTCTCTAGATTATTAATTATTTGTTAAAGTAATTTGTTTAAAGGTTGCCCATTAGCATCATGTTCTCTGGATGGCCATCTCAATAAAATTACCAATAGGTAACATAAATAATACATTTAAAATACACAAGGTAATATAACATAAACATAAACAACAAAAACAAAACTTAAGTTAGTAAATTAAAACTGATGCAAACGGATGTAAAAATGCCATAAGTGCACCGGAAAAGGAACATTTTTGTCAGGCACCTAAAACTCAGCAGAGTAGGTACCTGATGAATGGTAACACATTCCATACTTGGGGTGCCACCACAGAAAAGCCCCTCTCCTTGCAAGCTGCCCCTTAACATCTAGGGAGAGGAACTCATAGGACGGCTTCAACTGATGACCTTAAATGATGGGCAGGAATATAATGGAGTACAGCACTCCCCGAGATAATGTAGTCCCAAGCTGTTTAGGGCTTTATATGCCATAGCCAAGACCTTGAATTCAGCCCTGACTTGGCAGCCTGGATGCAGCGTAATATGTTCGTAACAACTAGTCATCCTCAGCCACTGCACTGTCCTGCTTTGGATCATTTCAGGAGTCTGGACTGTTCTCAAGGGAAGCCCCACGTACAGTGCATTGCAGCAGTCCAGTCTGGAGGTTACCAGTGCATGAATGACCATAGCAAGACTATCCTCATGCAAGTAGGAGCATACTTGGTAAATCACCCGGAGCTGATAAAAGGCACTCCTGGCAACCAAGTCCAACTGAGCTTGGAGTCCAGGAGCACCCCGAGACTACAAACCGTGTCTTACAGGGGAATGCAACCCCATGGAAGACAGGTTTACAATCTCCCTGTTGAAACTAAGGTTCATTCACCAACAGTACTTCTTTGTCAGGCTTTAACTTGAGCTTACTGGTCCTCATCCAATCCATTACCAAGTCCAGATTCCTGTTAAGGGTAGAGACTGGGGGAGGACAGAGACTAGAGTGTCAGGTGAAACACCTCCCTTTGTTCAACAGAGAACCAGTCGTGATGTAAGCAGCAAGCTTACCATTCATAGGCTGAACAATGGTTTTCTTGACTCAGATAAAACCATTATAGGCAAACGTGCAGCTGCACACTGCTACAACCTCTTTAGTGCTTAGTCTTACTTGCATCAATCCAAGAGTAAACAGAGCACTGGTTTTTTGCACCTAAATACCATGGGCTTCAGTGTCCATGAATGAACAATTCATTAATGGGAAATACAGCATTTTGGATTAATTTCAACTTTAAAAGTGTAACAAAAAAGCCCTTAAGCATGATTCACTTTATAGCTATTTTTTACTATAAACACTCTAGAAGCAGGGAAAAAAAGTAATACATACTACAAGAAGGTATTTCACACAGTTCCATGCGTACGTTTTTGTTTTGAGTAAAACACCAGGGACCTTCCATCTGGTTTCCAGGATTGCGACAGTAGGCATGTCCACCTCCAAGCTCTGGAAATTCCGTGCTTGTCAAGTCATGGGCATGAGGATGTTGCGAGTCCCAGTACTGACAATTATGGCCAGACTTTGTGACACTGACAGTACCTCTATAATCTGCTCCAGAGCCATTGTAACACTGGTGATCTGCAAGAAGAAATTTCACAAAAGCTACATGATTTGCCAGAAGCAGTTCTCCCATCTCCCTTGAAAAATATTTTCTTAGGCCCAGTAAACTAATATTTGGCTCGGCATACACGAGGTAAAAACAAATCCACAGAATGATGCAGTGCAGTACTGCAAGGATCAACTGTTCTTAGCCAACTCATCTGCTTCAACATGATTTAAGTCTCTGTTTTATAGAACACCTGCTTGGTTCCATGTAAGATTAACTACTTGATTCGAAATTGAAAAGATGTGGAAAAGGCCTGAGCTTGCAAAACTGAACCGGCATATTTTGGCAGTCTCATCAGCTTATATGAACAAGGAAGCAATTCAGAAATCAAAGATTACTAGGGCAACCCTTTAGCGACTGCCTCTTCCCATATGAATTGACATGTTTTCTGCAGTCTGCCTCGGAGAACTTCCTTTGTGTGCCACTCTCCGAGAAAGGCTTTTGGGTTGTCAGGACAGGCACCTGCCTTTTCTGTGCTAGCCTCATCTTATGGAATGCTCTCCCCACGGAAGATTGTCTGGCACTCATCTTTTCAGCTCCAGTTAAAGATGTGCTTGTTTTTCCAGGCATCTGGACTGTAGTTATGGCCCAATAGTAGTGGTCTGCATCTCTGATGTTCACTCTAGGCTGTGAACAGTGCGAGAGTCTGGGTATTTGTGCATGAACACTGTATAAATGGGTTTTGGATGGTATTTTATTTCTTTTGCATCAATGTGCTGATTACAGTTTATATTGATTTTGCTTGTTTTTGCTACATTAAATATGGAATTCTAAATCTTGTGTATAAGTTGCTTTGAGATTGCTTTTATGATGGGAAGTGATGTATTATTATTCACAAATATTATATTATTATATACAAATATTGTTAAAGCATGACAGTCTCTATATGCAAGGAAAGGGACCAACCCATTGCCCTCCACATAAGAGAGTGACTGTTTGCAGTGGGATGCATCCTCTATTTCCACACAACTGAGAATCCTGATTGTTTAGTTGCAGGAAGCTCCCGCTGCAGGCAGTGGTGATACAAGGGTGTGATGGCTTGGGGAGGACCTCCTGCTCGCTTCCCCCTACCCCCATGTGTAGCGACAACATGCTTTCATCACACACAGGCAAGACTAATGTTAACACCCCTACATCTGAATCTCTCAACCTCCTCCAAAATGCTAATTTCATCAGAATCACCATCTGTATGTCTCCCCACCCACCCCTAGGATCTTCCTTCCCTTGCTCATTCCCCTGCCACTTTCCATCTCTCAAGCTCTGTTAAAAATTGTTCCAGCTGCACAAGGTGATCTGCGCTGGCAGGCCTGTTGCCTCTGGTGTGCCACGCATGTCTTGGGAAGAGAAAAATCTCTTTCCAGAGATTTAAGCCTCCATTTTTTCCCACCAGGCCTATTCCATGGTGAATTCTTAACACAGCAGCAAAGACTTTACAACAGTGTAAAGGTTATGCCACGGTTTGCTGTATACACTGCACGTTCTGCAAACAGCAAAGCTGAAAGCAGTTAGTATGTGCAAGGGCCGCCCTTCCTACCAGGGAGGTCTGGCAGTTGCTCAGGTGCCTGGGGCAGAATCTGCATTCTTCTGGCAATAACCGTTTACATCATACAGACAGAGGCTGGAGAAGAGAAATCTGACATCTGCTGTTCTTCTTTCTCACCACCATATGGCATCCCCTTCCAAGAAAGCCCCAAGCAGTCAAGACAGAGAAAAAGCCAAATGCAGTATAATGTGTGTTACACCACAGAGGAATACACACACACAATCATTTCACTGGAATGAACACTCCATGCTGATTTTGCAGGAAAGGTTTACAGTCAAGGACAGGTACAAAATCCGGTCTCCTCCCCCTGGATCTCTCATGCAAAATCAATATAAATATTGGACTCAGACTGTTCAAATGTATTCCTCTATGGAAGAAAACAAAAGCATCAGTGCATACTCTTCTTAGTTTCAGTCCTCATATCTTTCCAAGACTAGCTGCAGTAAGGGCAGAAAATAAGGCTGCCAAATGTGGGCATATTTTTCATGAAGAAAGCAAGACTTCACTCAGTCCATCTTCCCTCCTCTGCTTTCTTTTCAGATGCCTAATTGCTCTCTAAGCCTACTCCCCTTACTCTCCAAGTTTACTCCCTCCCCTTGTTTTCAGATCAGAAAAACAAGAGCAGGAGATGCCACACACACCGCAGTAGCAGTGGGTCAAAAACCTTAATATAAACATAAAGCACACTTTACAGTCCAAAAGTCCAAAATAACACGTCAAACCTGCATCAGTGGCCATTTGTTGGGCCAGAGCCCATTTCAGCAGATACAGAATGCAAGTTATTTTCAGAAATTTCATGTATGCTTTAGGGCAGGGTGGGCAACCCATTTGCCCCTAAGCTGGTAGGCAGGTGGGGCCAATGGCTGTAGTCAGAGTTAGGGTGGGTGGTGCATGGGTCCAAGGCTGTGATCCTCTTCACACGTTCACGTACACCGGGCTGGTTCTCAGGGTGTACAGCTGACCGCCTGCTGAACTAAGCCATGGTGGGTTGCAACATGTGCCAGCTGCTATTGTGAACAGGCATGCCACAATGGGTGACTGGCGCAGATCATTGTGCATGTAAACATAGAGAGGTTCTGGGTAGTTTTTTAACCATGGTAACAAGCCACCCTGCCTGGACTCATATAAATGGAACAAGCCACAGCAACCACTTACCATGATTTCGATGTTCACAACGCTAGTCAGCACATGCCACAAGCCACCACGGCTTAGTTAAGCCACACTGCTAGCTGCCGATCATGCAAACCCAGTCACAATTCATTTACTCAAGCAGCTGTTCGGCAGCCTAGCAGAAATGGGATCAACATGGGGAGAATGGCACACAGGGAAAGTACTTCTTGTATGCTGTCCTCCCCATCAAAGACATTCTGCCAGTGCACCAAAAGGCTGTTTGGCAGGTTTGGAGGGGCACAGCTTACAGTAGTATCCTAACCACAGAGACGGCCAGCTAGAGTGCCAAGTCAATATTCTTCCTGGTGCTCTCTGCAGTCAGATGTCTGAGCATGGCTCCAAGCATGTCTGCTGGAAGATGTGCTGGCATTTGCACGAAAATGGAGCAAATTGTGGCGAGGGTCAGCTTCCCCAGGGACAAACCCAACAGCAGCCCTAACCATGCGGCAGGGGAAGGTAGTTTTGAGAAGGTGCACAAATTAGTACTGTGAGGAACTTGAAGGGGGTTAACCAAGTCACTTGGCTGGCGGCAGGAGCAAAGTTCTTCTCCATCCTCCCAAGAGCTATGAATTGCCCAGGTTTTATTTTAGGGATTATCAAGATGTCCAGGTTCATCACCAACACATGTGGCAGTAAATTTCACTGTTAACTATGTGTTGTGAGAAGATGCCTGGTTCTTTTTTGCCTGTTTTAACTCTCCCACCGTTTGACTCTTCCACTCATGGATCTGTGTCTCTTTGTATGACAGAGTGAGGAAAAAGGTCTCCCTGTTCCCTTTTCCATACAATGCATGATGCAAGAAAAGTGGCTATAGACAGATTTTACTTCTGCCATAATACTAGAATCCAAGATCATTCCTGATATGTTTAATTGGTCTCTCATTTGTTTGAACTGGATCCTACTGAAACAGTCTAAACAGGAAAAAAGATCAACAACATTCCCAGGAATGCCTCCAACATGGAAATACATGTAGTATCCAAAGGGTGAAAATATTATGGCTTTTCTAATATTATCCTCCTAATAATAAGGCAACAAATGAAGCTGAACCTGCTCCTCTGAAATCACTGTAATCTGTACACATAGATGCAAATGATTAACACAGGCCAAACAAGTGAGTTCCTGTTTAAGAAGGAAAAAGACAAGTAGAATGAAATATGTAAATATCACTACCTTTTCATCCCTCTATCCCTTTCCCTGATTGCCCCTTATCTATCTTTTCTCCTTTCCCACTGTACTATTCACTCCCTTATTCTCTATATGTTTTGTAATGAAAGTTCAGTAAGCAGGGGACACAAACTGATCTATCTCATAATTGCTTGTTTATTTTTCACTGGTATTTTGCCTCTTGATACAATAGGGGGAAAACCTGATTTACAACACTGTGCTAACAGAAGGCGATCTATCTTTTCCCTTCTTCTCCCCCACAGCTCTCTCCTGAAAAGTCCTTGGAGGGTATCGGGGACTTAGTGAACATTTTGAATTGTGTCTTAGAAGGCTGCAGTGGGAAGGCAACCAGCTGAAATTAGGAAACCTGAGCAAGCAGTGCAAATTCCTCCTACCTGATTCATTACTGCTGCACTGTAAGACAGAGTCTAAAGCATTTGGTAGGTTCTCTTTAACACCCCAATTTTCTGGGGAGGGTTGAGATTTGTTATTTTTTGCTTTTGTTTGTTTGTGGGGGTGGGATTCAGGGTGTTGCACAGGGGAAGAAGGAAAGGAAAAAATATTTTGTGAAGCTTGTCTTCCATTTGCACTGCATTAAATACCATGCTATATTATCAAATCAATGAACATGCATAAATTTAAGATGTCTTTCCCTTCTAATGATTAATCTAATGTATCTTTATTTCATTAGCTATTATGTGCCACTTATGTGGAACTACATTTTACCTTCAGCATCCTCAAAAATGCATCTATATTGAGATTTTAGTAATCTGCATATATTCTTTCAGAATATATAACATGAGGATATAAATATATCCTCAACCCAATCCAATCCCTGTTTATTTCCAGAATAACTCCTACAGTGTTCATTGGGGCTTAATTCCAAGTAGGGTTACATAAGATTGTGGCTTTACTGTTAATTAACTGATTCATCAATTAAAACTGGCCGATTAAATAGCTAAAAATAATTATTTGGCTAACAGCCCTATGTAAACCTCATATTCTCCCAGAGTAAAAGCAAAGGAGAAACAAGCAAAAGGATAAAGCAAAAGGAACGATAAAGCAAAAGATCGATAACTTACATCTATTGAGCCGTTCTACAGGTATTCCAATTTTTATACAGTTGGCAGCTTCCAGGGTCTCTGGCAATGGCAGCTCTTCACACTTGGGTGGCTGGAGCTGCATCAGAATGAGTGGATTAGACCTAGCGATGTTGTATTCCTGCCTACAGAGGTCATTTTCCAGAACTTCACACTCATCCCGACACAGCTCTCTTGGCTTAGGTGTCCGAAATCGTTCATCACACAGGGGAAACACGAAGTGGCAGAACGATGGGATGGCAAACTGAGAACACTGATCAGACAAATGGGTAGACGTGCCAATCATAGTAAATGCAGCTAGAAACAGAGAGAGAAAGAAGGGAAATCAGCAGTCTTTAAGACTCGGTTCATAAAACAAATGAAACATATTACATTACTGATTTTTTAAAAACTGAAGTAGCCACTCTGGAATAGAGGGCAGATGCTACCAAGGAATCCCATTCTGACAACATCATACTCACAAAGACAAAGCAGTATATATATCTGCACTACGTATACAGATAAATTTGGTACAGAGCAGCATCTCAAGTCTTCATCCAAATGACCTTTGGAACTGATGGAGAAGTGAGGGTTTAAGAATTCAGACTTCTTGACACTTGCATCAAAATTGTCACTTCCTGAGTTGTTCAGTGAAAATGGTGGCAGTTCAAGCAGCATAAATCTATTACTATTTTTTTTAGCAAAGGACAGTTTCATTGATGAGATAGTACCCGTTACTATCAAATGGGTTTGTGATTGCACCCCCAGAGCAGTGTATACAATGCCACCCTGGTTTCTACAATAGGAGAAGCTTGAAAAATTGGCCCCTTCTCACCAATGGATCCCAAACATTTTTCAAGGTCAGACAAGTATTTTCTCTCTGGATTTGGAATGTGTCTAGATCTCTCTTTGAGACTCTTGTCTGATTCAGGCTTTAAAAGAAGAGCTTCATTTCCAAGCAGAGATGTTCAAACCTGTCTGCAAGCCATACCATGAATCCTAGAAATCTTTCTATCTAATCCTGGTGTTGTTGGGGTGAGTTTTGCTTACTGAGTCATACAAAGGCTCAATGCACATGTTCCAAGCAAGACCTGCTCTTCTACAATATTATCTCACATGTTTCACAGCTGCAGGCTGGCAGTAGATACAGGCTTGGGATTAACCCCATGTGAGATGTGGGTCAAATTATTATTATTTAATTGTTATTACTGGATAAAATGTATAACATGCATTTTCCACCCCAAAACAAAACACAAAACCCATCCCTGACAAAGTGAATTATTCTTGAAAAAGAAGACTGTTGACGCAAGGTTAACAGGTAGATGGGCTAAGGAGAAATTAGTATTAATACGCTTAGCTGCATTATTCAAATTAGCAAGTGTTTCATCATCACAGCACTGATCCCCTGCCTGCTTTCTGGTGTCAGTTGCCCACATACTGGTATTTATTATTTTTTGAATATTTAAGTTAGACAAACATAGGAAGATGTGTATCACAGATTTCATGCATGAATCAAGCCCCAAATATAGATACATTTCCATATTTTCAGGCAGTACCTAGTTTTGACCTAGTTACAAATCTGCATACCACGCCAACGCATTTGCACATCGCGCTGAACCATCCTGTGAATAAGCCACAGTGGGTTGGTTCTTTGCTGAACACCCTACGGTACAGCCAGCAGATAAGTGGGCTTACAACCACTTCTTCTGTTACTTTCTTCCCACCAGCCTCCAGCCAACTTTGGTACTTATCACAGAGTCACTGACAGCAGAACCCATCTCCCTCCCCTTCCTACCCCTTTCTATTCAGCACATGTTTCTTTCTTTTTTGAGAGCAGCCTTGAAAAGCACAGCTGTGGTCATTTGCAGGGAGGGACCTCTAAAAATTGGGCAGCTGTGTTTATACCTTTCCTTTGCTTATTTTCATTGTGGGGGTTTACAGGTTTGCACTGTAATAGCTGTTTGATATTGTAGTCTTTCCTAGTCAATTTCCTTGTCTGTTTCAGCAGTGGAACTAAGTGAAATATGAAAGAGACGGATAAAGAAAGACTGCAGAGAGGCTAATCTGTGCACAGGTGCCAGGTTATATGTCAACAGGAAAAAAGCTGAGAGAAAGGAGCAAAAGGAGTGACAAAAGGAGGTGAGAGGCGTGAATATATCTCCTTTAGCAATATCTCTCTCTCTCAGTTTTAAGGGAGGAAATATTAACTGTCTCTGCCACAGCTCTTTGGAGCACTTGCTGCTGCCATTAATCCTGTTCTCTGAAAGTTTAAAAAATGTAGAATATACAAAAGTCTGGAAAATAAATGAAGAAATGTGTGCCAGTTTAAGAACTGATGAGCAAATAGAGTGGATCTTTGTACACGTGAAAAGGACCAACAAAAAGTAGGTGGGTATGTTGGCAGAATGTGTCAAGGCTGGAGGGCCTTTCAATTTCATACTGGTGGCATGGATAGCAGGACTGGATTGGGTCAGTCAACTCACAAGTCAGTTGCGCAATCCTAGCTCTGCTGCCCTCTGCGTTTGTCTCATGTCAGTAGTGCAGGACAGTGGCAAGGGATGACAGACTTGGTTAGCTGATTTGCAAATCGCTCAACCTGATCTCTGCCCCATGCTGCTGCCGCTGCGAGCCCTTTCAGGTTGTATCAGGAGGCACAGGGTAGCAGAGCTGAGATGGCTGCCGCAGACGTGAGAGTTGTTGGTGGCAATCACCAGAGCACTGGAAAAAGCCAACCAGGGCCAGGCATTCTTGTAGGAAACTAATTATCTGAATTCATTTCAGTCCAGATTCATGCAGGAGATGGGCACAGAAACAGCTTTGGTCACCCTGTACCACCCATGCTGGGAGAGATGCAGGGGAGTTTAACCCTGTTGATACTCCTGGACCTCTCAGCAGCTTTCAATACCATTGACCATGAGGTGGCTGTCTGAGGTTGGAGTGGAGGGTGTTGCTTTGCTTGGGGGTCTGGCTCCACAAGACAGTACTTGAAGAATAGATCTCAGCTGCATGGACTGTCTAGTGTGGGGTTCCTCAAGGAGTGGTCTTGTCCCTTAGACTATTCAACATCTATATGAAACCATTGAGTGGCATCATCCAGAGCTTTGGAGTGTGTGTTAATGCCAATATGCTGATGACATGCAACTTTATTTCTCCTTTTTATCTTCTGCAGGTGAAGCTGTGGATGATTACAGCCTGGTAATTAGGTCAGACTACCACAACACACTTTATGTGGAGCTTCCTCTGTAGACTGTTCAAAAGATAAAAACTCTGCAAATTGTGGCAGCCAGATTGCAACCAGAAGGTCAGAACACAAGAGAATCAGCTCTGGCCCACGTGCACTCTCTGCCTATACACTTCCAAATCCAATGCAGAGGGCTGGTTTTAACCTATAAATTCCTATACAGCTTGGGACAACAATACTTGATGGAATGCTCTTCCAACCACAATCTGCTTGGACATTATGCTCAGTATCTGAGGCCTCCTTCCAAATTTCTCCTCCAAGGGAGGTTGGTAAACAGCAAAAGGAGGGCTTTTTCCTCTATGGAAGCCCCCAGATTATGGACTGATCTCCCCAATAAGGCTTCCCTTGTGCCAATTTTACTATCCTTTCAGTGCCATGCTAAGCCTGCCCTTTATGCCAAGGCATTTAACGGCTTTCACACTTTTGGCATGAGTACTGACAGCTGTTTTTACCAGGCTAGGCTACCTTGGCTGTTAAGATATTAAAAATTAAATTTCAACTCCTAGTGAAATGATACTTTATTTTTATGTATCTTTTATACTGTATTTCATCAACTGTTGTTTAATGTCCAGAGAGCTTCAGCTAATAGGCAGTACAGAAATAAAATTACTACTACTACTAACACTAACAAACACTAACATTAACAATAATAATCTGGGCCAGTAGTACCCTTTCCTCTCCTCATCTCTTCTCGTCTCTCCTCTTCTGGCTAAACCTGCATATCTCCCTCCATGCTGTCTAGCTCTTAATTCTGAACACATTAGTGCTGAAGTTCCAAAAAGAGTAGTATGCCAAAATCAACAGAAATAAAGAATGGACAGCAATATAGTTTCTGAGGCTCAAACTAGATGTGATGCTGGAATATCACCATTTAGACCAGCATGCTCCAGCCCAGTTCTTGAATATATTGGATTACATCTCCCATCACCCCCAGTCATTATGTCATAATGGGCACCATCTTAGGGAAGGGTGATTTAAACTCATACTTGCTACTATTATGTAGAAAAGTGGTTTTGTCCAGTTTGACATGTGAAAGCTGTATAGGATGGTGATGGAAGGAGGACCAGATGCCAGGATCAAAGAACAAAGAAGCAGGGAAATGTTAACAGCTTTGGAGGATGACTGAAGCCAAAGCACCTAGGAAGCCATACCAGCTTTTCACTCTGAACCCTGCAGAAAAGAAGGACCTGGCTGAAAAGCAAAGCAATCACTGGTTTCCACAATGGTAGAACTGATTCTTCTCACCACACAAGTCAATGGAGCAGTATTCATTCTATTAACTATGCAGTAGATCAAAGGTTGCATGATCAGTGGGGATTGACTGCAAAATCTTGAGAATACCAGGATTGCAATGGATTCAAATGTTAAGTGACCCTCCCCTCACAAAAAAAGTATTGTTTCTCATGGGCAGGCAGTCATGTTTCGAATAGCTGAGTTTTAGAACAGGTCAACTGCCAAGCCTGCCAAATGGGAGTGCAGCAAGGGTTTGCTTGCATCAGAACTCCATATTACACCCTTCTCTGTTTACAACAGTCATGGCCATGCTAAATGAAAAGGATCAACAGGAGCCAGATGTTTGCTGATGACTTCACTCAAGAGTATAATGAATTACCAATGAATAAATTACCCACTTTAATCAGTGTTAAAGCATCCTTGAGCAAGCTGGCCTTAAAAGGAATGCAGATAAGAACAAGGCCAAGATAAATGAAGATACTGGACCTACAAAAGAAATCTTCGGAAAGTGGCGAATCAATGAAGAAATGTTCATATTTGGAATTTGCCAGAGAGTTTATCTTCTTGGCAACCCTGGATCGAATTGGTTTCCTTCAATGGAGGAAAATCAAGACAAGGAATGATCCTATAATAAGTACACAGATCGATTGCCCCAAAGACCATGCATATTATGACAGCATAAGTGTGAATTTGTAAGACAGCCACCAAGCTATTCCTGCAAGTGAGACTGTAGCTTGCCCAGCTGCTACAATTATGACACTGAATGGTAGGCAGCATAGTTCTCACACTGACAAATGCATGGAAGCATGCACACATCTTCAGGACAAGTCAGGACTGACTGGGTGTTTCTTCTACACACAATTAGAACCAGTGGTAAGCTCAGTGGCAGAGTACTTCCTTTGTGTGCAGAAAGTTCAGGGTTCAAGTCTTGCCATTTCCAAAAAGGATGGGAAAAACTGATGGAGATGCTAGGAACCCTCAAGAGTTGCCACAACAAGTCAGTGTCAACAAGATGAACCAAGGATAGGATTCTCTATAAGCGATAGTCCTACATTCCCATAATAAGAATTCCAACTTCTTGGCTGGATTGTATAATTTTAGGCTTCTGATTAGAGCTACATGGTATGGAAATGAGCCCTCAACAACTCTTGTCAGCATAATGGCTGCATATGTTATTTTTAGGTGTACATGCTGCAAATAAAATGGGAGAACACTTCCTCTGTGCTTACAGTATGGCTCATTCCAAGACAGGCTTCCCTAAACATGAGCGATGAATTTTGCAGTGGCTGCCTCCATAGCGCAGGAAACCTCCGCAGTTCTGCTGTGATGCTCATGTCCATTCTGAGGTAAGTCCTATATAGATGATGCATCCAGGCTGAATGGGCTTAAAGAGGCCACACCACACATCCCTGGGCACAAAGCTCTGAAGTGGAAAAGGGTGCAGAAACTTTCAACCATGAGTAGAGAGGTAGCCAGACAAAACAGAAGAAATAAGAAATAATTATGTCTTGCTAAGTATTTCCTCCACTTTGCACTGAAGAGTTTTGATACATAATGTTTCTGAACTGACCTCTTCAAATAAAGTTTCTGATGTGGACAGTAGATGTCACTACTTTCCATCGGTGAAGTAGGGCAGAAAATTTTCCAAAATACAAAATTTTCTGATGTCATATTTTTCCATGGTAAAATTTCCATACTGTATATGTCTGTGTTTATCCATAGCTGTCTGGGATGCTACACTACAATCAATCCTATTAGATGGGCTATATATAGACCCAGAACTTGTATAGGTTTATCTTCTAAGACGCACTGACAAACCCTAGTGCTTAGTTGCCTATTAAAAAAATAAGGTGTGACTACCCCTTCCTGTAAACAAGGCAGTTTGCTCTTTGCTGGGTCTAGGCCAGACTTATACATGGTGTCTTTGTCCTCTATGGATAATATTCCTCAATAGCCCTCTAAAAGAAAACTGAAACTAAGACTGTGATTATTGTTTGTTTCACTTAAGAACATTAAAGGAACTGTGCTAGATCAGGCCAAGGGGCCATCAGGCCAAGCATTCTGCTCACACAGTGGCCAACGGGTTGCCTATGGGATCCCACCAGCAGTACCCTCATGCCCAAGTTCCCCAGTCTGTACCCAAAGACCCACTCCCATCCTTTAGTGAAAGAGAGTGGTCGACCAGTTGTTCTGAATCAGACTTTTCTGAACTTGAAATGGAACCACAACTGAAGCTGCAGGTGCTGCAGCTGCAGTTACCTAAGCAAAAGAAAACCAAAGTGTTAATACAGTCTACAGCACTTCTTCGGGGGTGTATATCCTAAAATCAGTGAATTCTTTCAGGTGTAGTCAGTTTGTTGAATGTAAACACACATCATAAGGAAGTATGCGCTATAGCCTTTACATTTTTACAAATGTTGCAATAGAATAGTTTCTACATACATCTTGGAATGTGTTTGAATATAATATTTAAAATATATTGTGTGGTTAATTTAATTTCCCCTTAAGCAAATATTTCACTTCAAGTATTTCGTGGCTATTGGGAACTTTTTTATATACCTATATAGCACATAAGCTTGACATAGATTATGTTTTCATCTCTTTACTAAATATGAGGAATTTTATGTGACCAATACAGACGAATATGAGTAAAAATGAGTCAAATCAGATAACATTATTTGGAGCACTGGAAAATATTTCAGTTTTCCTTTCAAAAACCCACATCACTGCTTTCCATTCCCATAGTTGCATACTTGATTTGCTTTAACTTAAATGCAAATCAACAGATGCAAGCTTAAGCTTTCTTTATTAAACTAATAATAAAGCTGTTTTTCCCTGCACAAAGAATACTGTTTTTGAATAAGATTGTACCTTTACAGTTTTAAAAACTGCCTGTTCCTTCATCAGTGGAAACTATAATGGCAAGACAGACACTGTATTACTAAACCTTCCTGTGTTCCCTGAAAGCTGGCAGAGTGCAACAGGGAACCTGAGCTAAAACAAATGGCTTAGTTTGATTATTTGGCTCCCGCTGGGTTCTGTTCCATCATGGAAGGCTTCTAGTCTAGTGAGGGATCCTGCTAATGGAATAAGGGCAAAGGTTTTTTTCCCCTGGTCCATTCGTCCAGGTCATGATGCTCTGAGGAGTTGGGTGACCCTAAGGAACTATGGAGAAGGTGGTACTGGTGCCACTGTGGGGTGAGGTGGAAATGGCAAGAATTACTTTTCTTGTTTCCTCCAAGAGGAACATTCTGAGCAGAACTCCACTCTGGGAACACTATTGTTGGTGGAAGGAGATGCTAGATTCAAGCCATTGATCTTTCAATCATGGCATGGAAACCTATTAATAAAGCAAATGTAGACTCATTCAGTAGTTGAATTGCATATGCAAGCTTATGCCTGTGTATAAGGCATCCAAGGTATCCTAGCAGGGAAAACAAGCGCAAAAGTTGCTGTTTCCTGAAAAATGTCCACCACTAGCAAGTAATTTATTTTTTGTAATAGGCCCCAAAATATGCATGCAAATGATTTTAGCAACCTAATTACTTAGCCAGTTGCAGTATGAATGGGTATCTGATACCAGATACTACACAATGCAACTACTTAGCAACAGTTAAGCACAGGGACAAGAACTGGGAAAACTACTTCAACACTGGGATTGAAATATGACTGAACAGGAAGGGGACATTTGGTGTCCCAGGATTAGAAGGCACCCAGACCAAGCTGGACTGCAAGGAATTACTTTCATGTAAATGGAAAGCCTTCTCCTTCTTTTTAGTATTCCCTTTTATTTTCAGCTCCCTTCTCATCCCCTGGAACCTTTAACTATGAAAGGAAAATGAAGTGCACATGAAAAAAGAACTGAATTACAATTATTAAGTTTTTAAAAATCACATGACCCCACCCAAAGCAAACTTGGATTCTGACACTCATGTGGATTTTTATGTGCAGCTGTAGTTACCCACAAAGTCCCTGCAACAGTTATTCAATCTCTGAACACAGAGAAAGGGTTCACTGTATAACTTGTTCTCTGAAGGTGCTGCTCATATGGCATTGGAAGAATGTGTACATAGGAAGAGAGCTGGAGTCTGCAGTAAAAAACCTGACTGTATCACGTAGGAGTTGAAAGATCCACTTGGTCAGATCCCTCAGTTAAACCCAAAAGATTAGTGGGAATATATAAAGACATGGTGCTTTTCTTGACCATTATCCACAATTCAATTCAGTTGTGGTAGGTTAGTTTCTTCTATTTGCCTTGGTTTTGCTTCCATAGTTCCTTAATGGAACAGCACCTGGCAATAGGCTGGAGGGCAAAAACCTGTATGCCAGAAGCAGTGAACAGGGTTTATTTCATTCAGATGCCAAGAGAAAAGGTAGCTTCAAATTGTTCAGGTAAGCAAGCAGAGATGCAAGTGAGAAAAATATATTTGGAGGAGAAATTAAAGCTGCCTGTCGCTGACCTGCAATACCTGGCTCCAGTGAGAGAGAACAACACATAGGCACTCCCTGGCCTTTTGCAGTCTTACCTAAAGTCATCACTGGTGGATAGCCACTAAAGTTTGTTGGAAATGAGATAATAGCAGCTAAGCAGCACTTTTACTTTAAAATAAATTAATTATGAAGCATGTGTCTTGTTTTAATGCAAATTTGTGCTCCAGGACTTGCAGAACCCATTAAACAAGGGGTGAACATGTTTTAAATTTGGTGGCAATATGGCAGTTCTGGGAAATGTGCCTGCATTGGGCTCCAGAGACTGCTTCCCATTACCTCCAAAGTTGCCCTTTCCTGAAAGAGAAATTGAAAAATTCATGGAGGATTCCGTCAAAATATTTTTATTCGGTATGTGCATACAAAACTAAGTCAAGGCTATAACGATACTCCTGATGCTCAGAGACTGGAACTAAGGTATAGGGAGAAACACTGACCAAATTGTATCTTGAAGCTCTGAATCACAAGAGATCCATTACAGAAGAAACTCATGGGAATTCCATCATATCACTATGTAAAGTTACTGCATAAGAGAAAAACAGATGGTCACAACTCACTTGAAAATGCAAGCTTCAGAATGCTTCGCCCGGGTGGATTTCCATTTCGTATGGCGCTAGCATTGGATTTTAAGTTTTTCCTTGAAATGCAACATTTTCTGACCAGAAGAAGGGCATGCAGGCTTACCAGTAATTCGGTTTTCAATTTCCCCTTGCATCTGGAGGGAGTCCACATAAATGGTCCGGTTCCCAATGATTCGAGCACATGCAATTCCCCTGTAAGGCTGGCAAAACCCATCTTCGTGGTAATCTTCCCTAAGTAAAAGACAAATTGGGAGCCTCTAAGTACATTTGCAGATGTCCCCCCATCCCTGATGAATTCTGAAGAATTACGTTCTTTAAAGGAAATGGGGAAAAGAGATGGTAAATCTGACATTCTTAATTCCTCCAGACACTGTTCTCCTTCCTTGGTTTTAGTTGACGCTGTTTGGGAAAGAAGAAGGATACCAATGAACATTTTAATTTAGGAGGAGGGCTTGGGGGAAAACCTCTGCAAAGTGAAAGCAAGAATTATCCTAGAAATCCCATGCTTGTGATAATGGGATGTGACAGGGCATTCTATGAAAGAGCTGTTCAACCGAGACAGTCATGTGTGTCATATTACACCTCCTAATACATCACTGGCATCAAATGGCATACTCCATAATTAGGCGAGCAGTTGTCTCTCTTCTCCCACCTCCTTCTGCAGCTCTTCATTTCCTTCAGTGAACAAGTAAAGCAGGCCTTGCCAAGATTTAATTAAAATATGGCATAATTCTGAGCCATGGCCTAGATGAACAGAATGAAATCAGTGCTCTCCCCACACCCTCTCCTGGTAGCAATCTTTAAGATAAAACTTAATGCCCCCTTTCCCTCTGACTATAACACCTAATTCAGATGTTGAGTTACTGTCTGGATAGAACACTGTTCTATTTTTTAAAGCAGCCCAGGTAGATGGGGATGGCTCCAGAGTAACACTGATAAAAAATGTCCTTCCTCTTATACTCTAGCAATTGTCAATAAACTAAGAGCCCAAAAGCCATCCTGTTGCAGAATCAGATTTGCAGCAATCTTGTCTCATCCAGATCCACTGTGGATTTCTCCAGCATCCTTAACTTTGACTGGTGATCAGCCTTTGCACTGCTAGGCTCTGACTGTGAGAACAGAAGAAGGGGTATATGAGTGAAAGGATCATGGTTTTTAAAATGGTACCTGCACAATACAGAGAGGCAAAGAAGCGGGAATGGCTGAGTCCCCCATGTATCCTGATATTTCCTGGACTGGATACCCTTGTTTTACCTGAGAGGCATAAAAATGCTCACAGTCTTATAAGCTGAATGAGGCAGGTATGTGCTTATGGTCCAGTGACATGCCTCTAAAGATGGCCTGTAAAAAGATGCTTTGTGCCAGCCACAACTGCATTTCTCCTTTTAGCTTAATCAGCAACTGCGTGCAGAAGCTAGAAGGAAAGCCTCCTGTTTTTAAACCAGAATATCTTATTTATCCTTGTCACCCATTTCCAGATTATTACAGAGTACAAGGGAAAGGAGCAGGGGAAAGAAGATAAGATACAGTTTCAGTGGGATTTCATCACAAACTTGGCTTCTTAAAATGAAATGCTGCTTCTGTAGAAGGCAGTTTTGTACAGCCTGCTGTGGCAATTAGGGAATTACAGATAGGATCAACTGAACAAAAAGGCTGAACAATCAACTGGTACTCTTAAGCTTTAGAAAAATGATCAAGGAATACAATGATGAATGTAGGACATGTTTAGCACAGCCATATATGATGCAATTAAATGTACTAATGTAGGATAAGTATTTTTTGCATAAGCCCATTCCCCTCCACATGGAATTACTGTTTTCTAACAAAAGGTTCACTATGCATTAACTGGAGGCACAGCTTCCTTCCATGCAATACATTTACACTCATCACGGAACATAATGTTTTTCTTCTTTTTTATACTATACACTGACCAGAGAGACCCATGGGCTATGGGACGGTTTGAAGATGTAATTAATCAATCAATCAATCAATCAATCCAGCCTGGAAAGGCAGGGGAGAGGCTTACATAAGAAAATGAGAACAGGTCTACCACAAAAGGTTTCTGGAGTTGCAGTTCTAGTCCTGGTTTGCTTTTTTTAAAACTAGAATTCCCTGGTTCCAAAGGAAAGGAAATGCAAAATAGTGGCTCACCAGATTATCACTGAATACCATAAGCCAGCCTTACCCAACCTGGTGGTGCTCACCAGACCTGTTTGAACTACACTTCCCATCACCTACAGCCAGCATGGCCACTGATACAACTTGTTCTCCAACAAATCTGAGGGGCACCAGGTTGGAAGAAAACTGCCATGACCCATATATTGGCTGACTCAGTCAAATACAAACCTACATCTGAATTATAATCACAAATTATGAATTATAAAATTGGGAATCTGATAGTCAAGAGTCTGATGAATCACGATTTGTAGAAACGCAAGGCCCTTGCTGATATACTGCAAATCACCTAGAAATCTACCAACCTCCAAGGCAAAGCTTAAATATGCTATTCACAAACCAAATGAAGGCAACTGAAGTGCAGACCGGACCTGAAACTAAAGAAGGAACTCTTCTTTTTTCATGCTGCACAACTTGTTTTTTTAAACTACCATTACTTTAATTGGCTTTAAACATTACTGTAAGAATTAATGTGAGATACATTTTATATCTGAATCAGAACAAGTCATTCAAAACCAAAAGACAGTTTGAAATGGTGAAATAATACTTGGATATACTGACACTTAAAGGATAATTTAAATATGGCCTTATTAATTACAGAGCTACTACTTTCGCCATAATGACATTAATCAATTCATATTTTATATTTCTGTACTGCCCAGTAAGAAAAACTTATTAGCTTGCAAAACTTAAAATGCATTATTAGAAACTGCATACATCTAAACATATAAGTAGACCATAAAGAAACATACATCTGTCTAAACAGTAAACAGCGAGAACAATCCAAATTCTGATTAAACCTCATCACATGCTGCCAAATGGGTGGAGGAAGAGGAAGGTCTTAAGCTGCCACTCAAAAAGAACAATGTTGATAACATTAGTTCGCGGGATGTGTGTGTGTGAGTGAATGTTTGCCTTTCAAAACTATATGACCAGGCTGTTAATTTTATCATCAAGTATTTGAAGCTACAGGAGAATAAACTAACCAGAAATACTGTTGTTAAAGAATTATAACAACGGATGCTGACATATTTAGCTTGAAATACAGGCAGTTCCTGAGTTACAAATGACTGAGTTACAAACAACCCGTATTTACAAATGAACATAAAGCCTATTAATTTTTAAACATTACTGCAGAAATCTTTGCCATAGAAAGAAAGGAAGTGAAAGGGGGCGTGGGGGGAGGCCTCTCAAGCATGCCTTCCTCCTCTGCCCATCAGAGTGGAAAATCTCTTAATATTTATTATTTATTAAAAGCTTTTGTATGCCGTCCTATTATACAAAAATCTCAGGACAACTTACAATATTTAATATTTCCCTTTACCACTTGGCATGCAGAATAGCTATGTATGAAGATTTCTCTATTTGAAAAATCCCTATTTAATGTAAGATGCAAATAAATTTCTAGTTGGGCATTCCCGTGTGCAAGCAGGAGTTCAAGGTTGAATTCTTTTTAAACATGGAATAGCAATCAAGCATGTGACTACCTCCGCTTTGCCATGTATTCACATAGGTTTCCAGTTCTGGTTGGCAGGCAACCCCAGTTTGTTTTAGCCATGTTTGCCCAGTCTGAACATCCCTACAAACCTTGGTGGATGCATACCAGGAAATAAGAATTTGACCCACAAGGAATTCTAACATGTGAAGTAGGAGTAAGAAACTGCATTCAGAGGGTAGACTGTGCCCACCCCACCAACCACACCCCTACACCAAACGTGACCACACTAGCACTGGATCTTTGTGTACTGTGCAGAGAGTGCACTTCTGCTGGGGATACAGCTGTGGCAGTGGCCCTGCAAGAGCTGTGGGCAACCCGCATGCTTCCTACCACAAATGAAAGGAGAAGAGGAAGGAGCACACAAGCACAGTGCCTTCTCCAGATCACCAAAGAATGCTTTGGTTCTGACATCTACAACCAGGCAAGTGCTTCTGTTCTGTCATGTGTGTGTCTGTTCCCAAATCTTTTTCCTGTGTAAAATGGATGCTGAAACACAATGTGTTAATTCTTAAGTGTCATCAACAGCCCATCCTCCACAAAAGCATTATGACAATACATTCATATCAAAATGCCTCAACAAAAATTGCTGTTTCGTTATCACAACAACCCTTGAAATGCAGTATATTTTAGGCCTGAAAGAAAAAGCTGGCATGCTATGTTTAACCAGTGAAACTGAAAGCAAAATGCTGTGTATTCCTTAAAATCAACATTTCATTCTAAGCCATAAAACTCACTAATCAACAGCACCATTGCCCTACTCATTAGTACTGACAAATGGCTCTGGCAAAGGTGATGCTTATTTTATGAATTAGTTTCTAATTAAGAAAAGATGCAGCAGTTTTCTTAAATGGTGCTGAGAACTCGCCTTTCTCATTAACTAGAACTCAAATGTGCAGTGTTTGTGATGAAGCAATATTTATAGATTTACCAGATATAGCATCCTCCTTGCCATTAGATTCATCGGTTACAGCAATTAAGTGCACTAACACCACTCACAGAAAACTTTCAAAGGTAACTATGGAACAAAGGAGCTTTTCTGTATAAATCAAATAATCTAGATGTCAGAATAAATACAGACCAAACACAAAGAACGTGAACTGCCTAACATATCTATTGTATGAATGGTGTTGTACAAGAGAGCCAGAGGGCGTAGAAAATAATAACTATATTGTCTTCAATGGCAACAGCCTAATCTGTCTTGAAAACATAAAAATAAAGCTTTAGCATCAAGTCTTCTTTGACTTGGAACTGACAGCTGACAGATGGTTGTCTAACATACAAAATAGAAATTGTGTGTGAGTGAGTGTGTGTTGCAGAATTTTTCTTGTGTAGGTCTGCTCCGTATCATAGGTCTGTTCATCAATTCAAGCAAAGAAAGCCGATCTTGTTCTTCACCCCTACTTGAGCTCATCAGCTAAGACAAGCTCTACTGACCAAAAAAGTCTGCAGTACCTCTTTTTAACCTTGTCCTTGCAATGAACAGCCTGCAAGTGCCGCTGCCAACTTCCCATCATTATTCAAACTTTTATTTGTCTTGGAAGACTCAGGAGCAAGGAAG